TTCCAAGAAGGAACCACGCTGAGGTGGGACAGTTTGGCGGGGGGGACGGGGGACGGAGTGTAAACACCAACAACCCCAAAAAGCAGCCAAGAAAAGCCAAGCCGAAAGCAGCTAGCGCCACACTGGTTACAAAACTGTCTGGTTTTGTAACAATTTCCCCGCTGCCGGCCAATGAGCGGCGTGGCGGCGTGTCACGTGGTGCCGTTTTATATAACACTTTGCTGAGACAAGACAGTTATTAGGCGGCGCGGGGCGGCCCGCATGGAGCTCTGGGAGGCGCGGCGGCGGAGCCCAGCACGCGGCGGCTCGGGGACCGCAGCAGCCCCGACTCCCTTTGGCCGCTCCCTCTGCAGCGACTCCCGGGTCCCTAGACGCGCCTCCCCGCACCTGTCCCCGCTTCTGCATGGAGTCGCGGGAGAGCGGCCCGATGCCGAGCTCGCCCGCTGAGCCGGGAAGCACCAACTTAGGGCTGGCAGAGCCGCCGGTGGCGGCGGCGGCGGCGGCGGCGGCGGTGGCGCGGGTGGCAGCCCGCGAGAACCCGGGCCCCCGCCCGGAAGTGGCTCCCGGGGACGGCCTTCCACATCCGATGCCCGAGCCGCCACTCGGGACCTCGACGCCGGAGTGTCAAGTCCTGCTCTTGCGAGCGGACGCGCTGGTGTCTGAAGGGCGCCTCCGGGAAGCCCTCGAGGTGTACCGACAGCTCTCCGAGCGGCACCAGCTGGCGACCGAGCAGCTGGAGCCGCTGCTGCGCGATCTAGCGGCCAAGGTCCCCCCCAGCGAGGCGGCGTCCCCGGCCCCGGGCTGCGCGATGGCGCCGGAGGAGGCCAGCCCGGCCGGGGCCACCGAAGTGTGGGACGGCTTCCAGTGCCGGAAGTGCCAGGGGTTTCTGTCAGACCCCGTGTCCTTGTCGTGCGGCCACACCTTTTGTAAACTCTGCCTGGAGTACGGGCGGGCGGCCGACCGGCGCTGCGCTCTGTGCGGGGTCCAGCTCCTGGCGGGGCTGACGGCC